GGTTTTAATTCACATTTCCTTAATGAAGTAACCCAACCTCTTGGAAAGTCAGGATTACCGTTTACAAAATGGGTAGAGTGCTTATTTTACAGGTTTTCTGTGTAGAATAAATAAGACTGAATTATCTGAAGCACAGAAAAATCCAATAGAGAGCAGATGATGACACTGATGCTCCAACAGACTTTCCTAAAAGGAGTGTCAGATTAACAGTAACAAGACTGAAAATAGTAGAAAGGATCTTTTCTTTTCGTATGTTGAAGATTGCTGTTAAGCTAGAATTCCATTTCCAGTGAAAATATTTCTAGAATGAAGGTGAAATAAAGGTAATTTTAGAAAACAAAAACAGAATTTATCACCCAAATAAAAGAAAATCTAATATACTCTTTAGATGGCAAATATGACCCAAACTGAAGATCAGAGATATGAGAAGGATTTATGAATTCATCTAAACACTGCAAGCATAAACTAGATCTTGCAGGTTTTAAATATAGAAAGGTCATTGCATTTTCTAGAAGGAGGGTAGTTACCAATTAACTTAACATGTTGCAATTTTTAGGATAACATCTAAAAGGAACAGAAGAAGAAAGTATAATGCCTAAGCTAGTAGAGGAAAAATGGAATTCTAAAATAATTTAAGATATACATGAAGGAAAAGGGTGCAAAAAAACAGGGTAAGTATGAGCACAAAATAAGATGTCAGAGTTAAACCCAAATAAAACAATTAAATTCATATTTAATTGAACTGAAACGTGTATAAAAGAATAAAGAAATTCCCTGTGAGCTGATATATGGTGATTTTCAGGATATATTCTTAAATGAAAAAGATGCAAAAATTATGTCACCTTTTGTGTGAGAAGGAAAAAAGGAATATACATATTTTTGCAAAATCAATCAAAAAGAACTAAAATCTATGGCCTACAGGGGTGGCGAGGCTGGTATCCCCGGAATGGAAGGGATAGAGAAGGGAATGAGACTTAGCAGAATTTTAATAGAATTTTGCCTTGAACCATGTCTATTTTTTATACATTCAAAAATAGATTGAAACAAGAATGGGGAAAACTTTAACACTGAATTCAGACGCAAACAAACCCATATGTCATGTTAATATATAATTACCCAGAAGAAAAAAAAAATTTCTGAACACAGTACACTGACAATACAACCTCAAAGGAAGAGTTCAGTCTTAGGACAAAACAAATCTTAAACGAGACAAAGTAAGTTTTCTGTTGATGAAGCAATTATGAAATGTTTTTTGTTTCCTGCAGGACTGAACAAGCATACTGTTGGAAACCCAAGTTCTCATTGAGGGAGCAAAGACGTACAAATAGCCAATGTGGGCAGAACAGGAAAACACTCCCATGGAATTAGGATGAAGTTGGAGGCACTGTCAGTATAAACTTGAGATTTCTTAACTCTTTCCACAGAAGGGCCTGGAAGCAATCACATCTCTGCACCAAGGAGCACACCTAGGGGTTGGATCTTAATTTTGAATACTATTCCCCACTACGGAGGAACAGCAGGATGGCTCAGAGAAATGCCTGCTTTCTGGAAAGTGAAAAGGAAGCCCAGAAGATTTTCTGGTACCAAAGAACTTAAAAGTGCTCAAAACTGATGGAATCCAGGGTCTTAAAGGAGGTCTCTATGATCAAATCTCGGAGAATCTAAACTTCAAAACAATTAGTGACAGGACTAGATTATATCTCTGAATAAACAAAATAATTCATAAATCTACTGATTCTAAAATTTCCTTTAACATTTTAGATGGGGCAAAGAGGAGTGAAAGGGAAGTTTTCCTTAGGGTAGGTGCCAACTAACAGGTGTAGGAAGAATGACAGAAATAGAAAAATCATTATTTTACATGAGTAGAATCACCAATGAATGATAAAATATGGCCTAAGAGATGGTTGGGGGGGGCAGAATGTGGAGAAAACTGACAGACATCCCCCTTAACCTACTTAGCATCAGTAATGGGACGAACTGCATTGTGCACCCCTCACTCATCACACTGAGGGGAACACAGCGCGGGACCCCTCTGACAAAAACGTTTACCTGGCCCTGATCATGAACATCGAGTCAGACAGATGCGAATATGCAGAGGGATGTCCTGCAAAATAAGTGAGGTAGACCCTTTAAAAAGGAGAAAAAAGAGAAAAGGGAAAAGGAAAAAAGAGGAAAAAACAGAAAAACAACAACAAAAAAAAAGGCTGGGGAACTGTTCTACCTATAGAGAAAACTAAACGTGGTTCTTGACTCTTAATTGGGTCCTGGATGGGAGAAAAACATTTGAAGACTTCATTGGGACAACTGGGCATATCCGAATGCAGTGGTGGTTTAATCACTAAGTCGTGTCTAACTCTTGGAAACCAATGGAATGTAGCCTGCTAGGCTCCTTTGTCCATGGGGTTCTCCAGGCAAGAATACTGAAGTGGGTTGCCATTTCCTTCTCCAGGGGATCTACCAAACCAGGAAGATATTATATATCATATATTAAATGATATATATAAATTAAATATCATATGTTAAATAATATTATAAATTATATATCATAAATATCATATATTAAATGATAATATTATATAAATGTTAAATTTTTAGAGGATAATTATCTTATGGTAGGACAATGTCCATATTCTTAAGAGATAAAGGCTCAGTTCTCATCCACTTCAAAGAAGCACATATGTGTCTGTATACAATATAAATAAATACACATAAAAATTATATACATATTCATTTGTATATACACATTCACAGAATGCAGCAAAGTGTTAATAACTGGTGAATCAAATTGATGTTTATTACTCTTGTGAGTGTTCTGCAGACTTAAAGTTTTGAAAAATAAAAAATTGGGGAAATTTTAACTAAGGTTTATTCATTGAAAAGACAAATATTGTTATACTAGGTAAAGGGAGAAAATCTAACTAGATACGGAGTGCATAAAAGCTAAATTTAAACCTAAGGATATTAAAAGATTGAAAATAAAGAAGATTAAAAAAAGAAAGCTCAGATGGCTCCATCGGACAAGACCAATTTAAAACAAGAAGCATTAGCAGAAAGAAGAGTTGTCTCAGTAATTTTTCAAAAAGTTCAATTTACAAAGATGAGATTTAAAAATACTCAAAATGTTTACGTCAAATAAGAGAGCTTCAATATATAAACCAAAATTGATACAACTACAAGAATAAATAGAAAAATCTACATTCATAGTGAAAGATTTTAACCTATATCTCTGTCATCGATAGACCAAGCAGCCAAAATAGCATTCAAATGAGAGGAGGAAGAAATTGAGACATTCAAGGAACGGAAGTTTAGCAGCCACAAACACCTCCTGAAACACTAAAGGATAACTCTTGCTAAAGGAAAAAAAAAAAAAAAAAAAGAGTCCAAAAGAGAGAGACAGAGAACAAAAAAAAACAATGGCCATCAAGAAAGCAATTAAAAAACAAAAAAGAAAAAATCTCTAAAAGCTCTTTATTACAAGGAAAAATAATAACCCTAGAAAATACCTGAGATTAGGAAGGAGGGAGTGAAAACATGCAAACATTGTTTTGTACAAGAGGAAGTGACAGACTCGGCTACAGCATAGAATATTTAGATACACATCAAAAATTTAAGGTTAGCTAGTAGAAAAACAGTTTATTGTTTCTGAACCACTAGAGTAAAAAACAAGAACAAAAGCAAACACGCAAGAAATTGATCAAAAACAGGAAAGGAACAAACAAGAAAACAAGAAGCATGGTAAAACATAACATGTCAGTCCAACACGTGATAGTAACAGATGGCTTGTGTGAGGGGAAGCAAAGCTATGAGCTATTTACAAGAGACACTCCTAAAACAACAGCAAAAAAAAAAAAGGGCATAAAGGGATGGAAAAAACATCAGAAAATGCTAACTAAAAGAAAATGGGTAGGAAAATATTAATCTCTGACAAAATTGTGTACAATCACTAAGAGAAAACAATGAGAGATGTTCTTATTTTTAAAAACATTACAATCCACAGAAATCCTGAGTCACAGTTGTCCATTATCCCCAGAATTTCAAAGTACATAAAGCAAAAAAACCCTTGTAAAATATTAGAGGAAAATCTATAACCACATTATGTTTAAAACCCTTAAAGTCCACTCCTATATATTCCGCAGGTTTCTCCTGATAGATTAGCAAAGTCTTACAGTCTTCTTAGTGTGTAAGTTGGGTCTTCCCAAATGTTAGTATATCCTGTCCCTGGAACAAGCAGAGAATTGACTCTAGTTACAGGCTAATAGTGGACCTCCCAGGAGGCGCTTGCGGTAAAGAATCCGCCTGCCAATGCAGGAGACACAAGAGATGCAGGTTCAATCCCTGGGTCGGGAAGATCCCCTGAAAGAAGGCACGGCAACCCACTCCAGTATTCTTGCCTGGAGAATCTCATGGACAGAGGAGCCTGGCAGGCTGCAGTCCATAGGTTTGCAAAAAGTCAGACAGGACTGAAGCGACTTGGCATGCACACACAGGCTAATGGGAACAAGGGCTGGTTGTGGTGGGTCTTGAAAAGGAACATCCCCTTTCAAGGCATCTGTCCCAGATGAGGTGAGCATGGAGTTTTCCAGCAAAGAAAAGCTCGTTTCTTCAGATATCAGAGGGCAAGATACTTCTACTGGCAAAGGAATCAGGGTGACATGCGGTTTCAAGAGTGTTAGTTTTATCAGAATATAAGCAGCTGTTCCTATTCCAAGTTTCAGAATCCCATTCTTTCCCAGTCAATGCCCTAATCTGTAACATAAGATACTTGGCATCACTGTGAGTTTAGCAATCATAATTCAACCACCCACACAATTAAATTTTGTGTAATCTTTCAGTGATATCAGCCCTCTGGCAACAAGAAATAATTCTTGTAAGGGCTTAATAGAAGCTCTGTGACATTCTGTAGTCAGACCATGACTTAAAAGTTGAAGGACCTGAGCGTGTCATTTTCTCTCTGTAAACACTCTAGAACCCTCAGCACAATCCACCCCACGTCACAATCCTCATCATCATCATGACCGCCATTAACAGTCCAGCAGTTGTTTGAGATTACAAGGCATTCGCTTCCATTGACATTGCATCACAGTTAACCACCGGTGAGAGCTTAATTAACCACGATGCCACTGCATTACCAGCATCCCATTTCCCATGGGCAAGGAGCTGAGTACTGTACTCAAGCCCAGACAAATCCCCAAATACCATTTGTGTGTATGGTTGGAGAAGGGAGGGGGACACTATCTACTGGGACCGCTCTTGGTATCAATTCTATCACAGACTCCAGGCAGAAACAGAAATTATACGGGAATTTGAACATTTGAAACCATATATGGATGCTTAACACGAAGAACTATTTACAGGGAGTACACACCAAAAAAGAAAGAATACCCTAGGGCTGAGGAAGAAGAGCCAAGCAAAGAACAAACTTTCCCAGGCTGAGATTCAGATCTCCGGCCAGAGGACAAGACTGCAGCCCGCTGGGTGGCAGAGAAGCTCGAGATGGCCGTGGCCAGAGCTGGTCCACAGTAGGTGAGCTGAGGCTGGCGTGGTGGTCAGGCATCGCGGGCAGAGCACACGGGCCGGGGCCCAGCGATGCAGCTGGCTGGAGTGCAAGGACCCCTGTGTGTCCTCCACTTAACACTGGCAACCACGGGGCGAGCAGAATTAGGAGCACCCTGCAAACTGGCAGGCACCCCTTTCCTCCTGCGGTGTCCCTCCAGCACCTCTACTGACAAAGTTAGCATTCTTCCAGACGGCGAGGAGTCTAGCTCCATCATCGAGGCAGTGAAGGGCGGGATGGAACACACAGGCAGTTCATTGGTCACTGTCTTACTCGCTGTCCATCGCACCCCCTTTCCCTTCAGCCGGTGCCACAGCTGCAGGGGCCCTTTGCCTGGCCCTGAACCCTCATGCTCAATGGGGCTGAGTCCCGGTCGTGCTGCCTGGGGTCTGCTGTGGGAGCTGTCTGTCCATCTTCATTACAGGCACAGGAAACCAAGGACGCAGCCCAGGGGAAGGCCCAGACATCCGCCATGCACATGCCTCTGAAACCTCCTCCGGCAGCGTTGACCCTAACCCTCCCTTGAGACTGTGTCAACCACTCGAGTCCACTCTGGGTTGCGTTGTGGTTCGTTTTTGTGGCCTATTTCCCTAGTAGTTACTTCTGAAGGAGTGCCTCTGGGTGGCTCTCTCAACATCCAAATTCAACAGAAATTTCCCTGTGCCTCCTGAAGGAAGCATTTGTCCTCTGGGCACAGAAACCTCTCTGACAGGAGGAGCCCAGCTCCACGGGGGCAGGAAGCACTGCGGAAGTAGGTTAGAGGGAGTGGAGGTGGGCTTACAGAGGAGGAAACTGAGGCACACAGAGGGTGGATAACTTACAGAGGTTGTACAGGTAGAAACAGCCGAATTGGGACTCCAAGCCAGGCCTGACTCCAAAGTCCATGTTGTTTTCACCACACCATATTGCCCCCGACTGTCTGCCAGGCCACTGTGAAATACTGGGGATGAATACACGGGCAGACCCCAACCCACCAGGGCTCTCGGCTTCTGAGTCACCTTCAACTCACAGACACACAAGGCCTGTGGTTAAACTGGGCTACTTACAGTGCTCCCTGCCCATCTGTGCTGTTCTTTCACCCAAAAAGCAGCCCCATTCCCCCAAGAATGTCAAAACCAAGAGGCTCACCTCCAGAGCTAGACTCTCCTCTGAGCTCAGAGCAGTGTGTTTCCGAGAATGGAAACACTACAGCAAGGACCAGAAACGGGTCCTGACCTCGGGCAGTTGGACGACCACACTTCCTACCCTGTGGGTAGCAGACACTCCTGAGTCTGGCTGAATTGTGGTGACGGTGGTTTGGCAGGGGGAAAGAAGGCAGAACTGGTGACGAGTGGGGAGAAATCCGAGCTTCTCAGAGAGGATCCGCTGACCTTTCAGGACGCCTCCAAGCCCGAGTTCAGCTGCTTGTTTAGAAAAGGAGCAACAGTTGTGAAGGACTCAGGGCTTACAGGTGTTTAGGGGTCATTACCACTGCTCCCTCTAGGGATGGGGGCGTGGCTAATGCAGCCTCCAAAGACCTGTTGATGATGCCTTCCAGGCAGAGCAAGCTAATAGGAGCCCGAGAAACACGTGGCTGGGACCCACGGAAAAGGCCAGGGGATTGTGTGTGTGTGTGTGTGTGTGTGTGTGTGTGTGTGTGTGTGTGTGTTTTAAGAAGCAGAATCTAATAGGAAAAGAAGTGGTTGTGCTGTGGCTCTTCTCCTTGAAGATGAAACTTCATAATAATGTGACTTTCCTTTGTCCAGGTCACCCCCAAGACCAGGCTCCTTTGTGAGCCTTTTAGAGACATGACCTGATTGGCCCAGCTCTATGTGCTAGGACAGGGTCAGCCCTCACTCATCCACTGCTTACCTCTCACCAATGAGGCCAGTGAGCTGGGAACCTGGCCCACCTCCGGGAACGTGGGAAAATGAGGAGAAGCACCTTCAGCTGCTCACCCAGCAGGATGCTGCTTCCACAGGCCTCCTCCAAGCTCCCGGAGCCTGGCCTCGCCTCCTTCTCCCCTGACTTCTCCCCTCCCAGTGCTTTCTCCCCGACTGATCCTAGGTCTTCCAACCCCTGCTCTCAGAGCCCTGTGACTCTGATTCACAAGTCGGGACACACGTAAAGAGGCCAGTCAACAGCCTATCACCATTTTGGTATATTTTTTAGAGGGCAGGGCTTTCACCTTTTAGTGTCAATTGGAATTATTTCACATGTCTTTCACAGAACCCGAAAGAGCGCATATGACCGCTGTGTGATCTGGAGGGGCCTGCCCTGCCCACACGCCCTTCTGAGAAGAACAGCTGGAAGCAGCCTGTAGAAACTGAAGGATTCTACCCTAGTTCCCCCGAGCATCAGCAACGCTAGTGAACACCTGCCCCCAGAGCAGTCAATCCAGATTGCTGGTCTGGCCCCACAAGATGAGCTTTGCAAATCATATTCTCTCCTTGGGAACCAGAAAACAGAAAGCAGCTGGAAGCTTCCATAGGTGGGAAGTCATAGAGCAGGAAAGCTATATAGCTAGGGTGTCAAGGAGCTCTTTAGCAGAGAGAAAAAGCAGAAGAGAGTTTCCTCATTGCTGGCTGCTCTCACGGCTTCTATGCTAGTCCAGTGAGCCTGCACCGTTCATGGCCTGCTCTTGGACGCCCATGACATTTCCTCTGGAACTCAGACCCCACTAGAGCACCACCTGGAAGATGAGCATGGGAGCCCTCAATCAGCAGCAGACCTTGGAACAAAATCCCGGCCTCCAGACCAAAACTGACAGATCTATCCTCAAAAGCATGGGTGCTTCTGAAAATTCTTGACAGTTATGTGGCTGAGGCCCCACTCATCAGAAGGGAGGTCTGCCCTATCAGACGCCAGCAGGCATGGGCTGGTTACCCGCTTAAGTCAGGGCAGTTGTGGCAGTTGGAGGAAGGCCATAGAAAATGGCTTCACACCCTTCCCTAAATGAAATGATGCCTTAAAAGCTCACTATAAATTATCAGGGTGGCATAGTTTTCAAATTGCTCCCATCCAGACTTGGCTCTGCAAGCCTCACTCCCTGCTCGATGGGGCCCGAGAAGAGTGGGGTGTGGCCCTTCAGAAAGACAAGGGAATCGCCCCTGGTCTGGCACGCAAACCAAGTCCATAGGTGGAGCCAAAGTAGTCTCTTCAAATTCGGGTTGCTGTGTATCCACTTGAGTTAGCGTGAGTCAGGATGTAGCCGGCAGAGAAGGAGGAAAATCTCTCTCTGCAGCTCACGGGGGAGACTTTGTAGGTCCCTGTAAATAAAGAAATACAGTGCTGCTGGCTACCTCCTAACTCGTGCTAACTCACATTCTCTCTCTGGTGGCTCAGACGGTAGAGTCTGCTTGCAATGCAGGAGACTGGAGTTCAATCCCTGCGTCAGGAAGATTCCCCCAGAGAAGGGAATGGCAACCCACTCCATTATTCTTGCCTGGAGAATTCCATGGACAGAGGAGCCTGGCAAGCTACAGTCCGTGGGGTCGCAAAGAGTCAGATTCAACTTAACAACTAACACACACACACAGTGTGGTAGCTGTGATAAAAGGCACAGGCACACAGCCTCTAGTAGAGGAAGAGGGCCGCTCACTCCTTCAAACAGCCCCTGAGAGCATTCAGGCTCTCTCAATGATGTCCAAACATTTTTCCACACCTTCAGGCAACTTTTGTGAAATTAAGTACCCCCTGCATATTTGAAAGTTGATATCTGGTTTTCATCTTAAGCTTAAATCATTGCAAAGAATAAAACTTCCAGTAAATATTGACATTTTAAGTTAAAACTGTTCCATTATTCTCTTCCATGTAAAAATAAAACTAGACTGTGAAATAGCATGACTGGAAGATGAGGTGGGGGAATACTAGGAGTGGAGAACCTCTTTAGGAAGCCAGGATCTAAATGACCCATCATTATCCATGCAGATGGGTGGGAGCAGACCACTCTAGGCAGAAGGAACAAGTGCAAAGGCCCTGAGGCAGAGGCAGAATTGACTTGTTTGAAAAACAGAAAAGTCCTGGTGTAATGAGGGGTAGACTATGAGGGGGAGATGGGGCTGGACCATGGAGAACTCTGGATGCTGTCGTGTTGATCTGTTTTACTGCCCCCCCCCCCCATATTCCCTAGGTTATGCCCCTCTTTTGAGCCCCAGAAGCCTGACCAGACCTATGTCCCTCTATCAGTGGGCAGTTGACTGGTGACTTACAGATGTGCTTAGGCCAGGGTACATTTCAGCAGCCCCTACGAGGGAAAAGCCAGAGGTGGGGTGTTAACTACCCAGCTCCCTTCTTGCAAGGTCCCATGGGCTGGCTGGGTTCCTGCAGTGAAGGTCCTAGCCCCTGTCAGGAAGCCTCTCTGTTAGGGTTACTGTTTCCTCCCCTTTCCTGCCTGCCAGTCTTAGAGTCTGGAGTGGTACCCCCTGCTTCGGAAGGCTGGGTACTGCACTCTCTCTTGGTACTGCTCCCCACCTTGGTGAAAAGTCTTTTTACTTAACTCTCCTACAATTATCCTAATTTGTAAGTGTCATCCATTTCCTCCCGGGACCCTGGTTGGTACTCCATGATTAAGTGGTTTTATTTTATTTGTTGTTTCTTAAATCCTCTGATAACTGTCTTTCTATCCTGTGAAGCTACATCACAGACCTTTTCTTTTCTTTTTTTTTTAGCTTAGTTTCTAAGCGCCTATTACAGGGTTAGAAGAAAGGCAAAGTGACTATATACACAATGCACGGTAGAGCCAAGAGATGCTTGAGAGACAACCGGTCCATGGAGAACAAACTGCAGTTGGAGGCCATGAAGTTCAAGTCCGGGACAGCATTCCCATGCACAACCCTCTCTGGGGAACGCAAACTCCATCGCCCTCCCCAGGTTCAAAACTTCCACTTCCCCTTAGTGTTAGTTGGAAAACTTTTAGCCATAACCATATTTAGTCATATCTGGGGAGGGGTCGGGTCAAAAGTCAAAAAGAAGAAAAAGAATGTATATATGCTTACGTAGCTAAGGTCACAGTTACTGCTAACATACTTGTCTGGGAAAGCCTGGGCCAGAGGGCTCAGGACAGGAAAACAAACCAAGCCAAATAAAACCTTTCCCTTTGATTGGGTGGATCCTGGCTGCTTTCATTCATCTCTATCCAAGAATCATCCTGTCAAGTCATGACGTTTCACACTGGGAGCCTTAAGTGGCCGCCAGGCCACCATTGATTGGCGACTCAGTCCATGTTAATCACCGCAAGTCACAGCTGTCTAGTTTTCTAAAGCGTGCTTCCTTCCTTAAGATCATGTTAGTTTACTGACAAAAGGAAATCTACAGACAGCCCAGAAGGAGGTGTGAGAACAGGACCTGGTGCAGAGGGAAGTCTCCCTGCTATTAGAAAGTGAGCCAGGTGCCCAGCACCCCGAGTGACAGCTCCAGGATGGGATGGGAGAGACCGTGGCGCCCTACACGGTACCCCCATGTTCTGCTGTCCCCTTCTGAGGAAGCCAGAAAAGGCCGAGAAGTGCAGGGGGCCCATGAACATAAGAAGAAGAAAGGATTAGAAGTTGGTTAAAAATAAAACTTATCAGACGAGAATTAGGTCCTGAGAATGTTATCTCTTCCCCCAGGAGGATGGAGAAAAAAACTGCATGTTAAGGAGAACACAGGCCACATGATGAATAAGCATAAAAATAGGAGGAAATGACCCAGCAAACGTGCCTGTCCTGTGGGAGGAGGCCTTTCCAGGAGGTGCTGACCTTCCAGGAGAGGCGGTCACCCTCCGGGGACACAGAAGAAACTGGCCAAGGGGCTGATTCTGGTGGAGAGAGACGTTTTTTTTCCCTCTGTACTTTTAAAAAACTGATTGTTTCCTTTCCCCATCCCTGCCCCTGTCCCACATGCATTTGTTACCTTTTCAGAAAAATATCGGTGTTTGGAAAACACTCTAGGGCAATTCCTACTTTTCAGCATTTTTATGGCGGGGAACCCTGTCCTCAGTGAATTTTTCAAAATCCAGTTGGTAAACACTTAAGCTGGGTGAGGATGAAGGAGGCTGGCAGCAAGCAGCCAGGCCTTGACTGCTAGGAACCCACCTCCTCATGCCACCCCCAACCCTTCACCCCCCACCACACCCCCTATCCTCAACAGCTTTCCTGAGATTTGCCACCAAATTGGGCTGCTCCACAGCTCTTTTCAAAACCGGCCTACCACACACCCACTGAAGTCCCATTACCAATGATACATGAAGTCCCGACTCTTCTACCGCTATGTCTGCCAGGCATTCATCATGAGGGATGTGCCGTTTTCCCTCAAGAAATAGGCACAAAACAAAGACTGCCTGTGAAATTAATTTTTAATAACCTAGTGCAAATAATGAATTTCATTCCACAGCTGCTCTTAAAATCTGTATGCAAAACTGCGACAATAAAGCACAATAGCCATTCCCTATCTGAGCTGTTCCTCTAACTTTAAAAAAAGAATCACAAAATGGTCTTTATAAAATTTCTGAAAAATCTCAGTACTCAGGAGCCCAAGCAGCAACTACTTCAAGGAAAGCTTTTCTAAGTACAATACTAAGTTTACCAAAGGTCAAACAAACAGGATTCAAGAAAGAAATCTGGTGCTTTTTTCAACACTCACAGTCTTTCAAGGTATTTAAATAGGCAAAAGAGCTGTGTTCTAAAGAAATGAAAATGACATCCTTCTACAAGCACCTCAAAAAGATTAGATAAGAGACTATCCAAGAGCTTCGGAGAATTAAAAATGTTTCTGAATTTCCACTCAATGTCACTTAGAGGGGATGATGAGAATTCCCTACGATGACAGAGCCTAGCCTAGCTTCCTCTCTTGATTTCCACGTATCAGACAGAGAACTGTCAGTAATAGAACCACGCTGACATCTCAGCCTTAAGCCTAAACTGGAAAGTTGGGTATATTAAAAAAAAAGAAAAGGTTTCCTTTCCTACCCTCAGAGGGCATCAAACTAGGGCCATGAGGACAGCAGCCTGGCACTGTCCAAATGTCCCCACACACTGCATGCACTGTGGCCTGCTGGGAGGCTTCCAAATTGTACCCGGGAAGTCCCAGTCTGTTTTCTCTTCCAGAAGGTCCACACTGCTTAACTCTGCCCTGTGGGGGATGGTATGCCCCACACAGCTCATACCCAGGGTTAGCCCGAGAGACCAACGTTGCCCATATTCCCAACTTCCCCCATGATCCTGGGAGGCATGCAGCGAAGATCCCATTGCAAAGACAAGGGAGAATTCATCATCTATGCCGTTTTCTGCTCATGTGGCTTCTTCTGAATAACTGACATTCCTTTAGGATGCTGGGCATGAGAACCTTGTGGATAACCTGAGCCTCACGTGAAGCTATCAAGCAGCGAACATTTAAAGCTTCCTCTCTCCCCACTCCGCTCATTCCTGCTCTTTTGTCTGGCATCTCCTCTGCAGGAAGGAGACACCAAAGACAGCGAATCCTGAGGAGATGGAAGTGCTGAGTGCGGTGCTCCTTCACCCCAGGTCATGTCACGTCATGTGTTAGTCGCTCAGTTGGGTCCTACTGTTGGCAATCCCTGGACTGCAGCCCCCGACAAACCACCCAACTGCCCTGAGACCCTTTCCTCATCTGAAGAGAGCAAGAGCTGACAGAGGCTGCAGCGAACAAACGTGTGAGCGCTCGGAGCGCAGGCCTGGGACAGAGCCGTTGGCGCAGGAGGCGTCATCCTACCAGCCGCAACACAGCGTGCCTCGGCCCCTCTGACGCCGGCCTTGCAAATGTAAGGAAGATAAGCCCTAGTAGGTCCGGGATCTCAAAGGACCTAACCTATCAACACAGAGATAGTAACATATTAAAAATCACTTTTGGACAGGAATAGACTGATCTGAAAGCACACTGGATCTTAAATATACACTAGCATGTGTCATTCAAGAGTTCAACTATAACCAGCTTCATCAGGAAAAGAGCTATTTCCACTGTTTCTACAATAGTTTCCAACTGTCAGGCGAGTGTATGCTCCTCGGTTCTTTGTCTCATCACAACAAAAATTTGGAGTGACGGACACTGAAGCCCCCTCGGTGGGTCACAGCTCTTGGGTCTTGGACAGACCAGTGTTATAGCTCTTAAATAAATCAGTGTTAGGGCTCAGTGTTACAGCTCTATTTTATTTAGATGACAGCAGGAAAATCCATCTTCGAGGTGTGAGGGCACGTCGGTCCAAAGACGGGAAGAGAAGAGCGCCCCATCGTGCAGGAGAGAGAGAGGGGGGGCTTTGGCTCCTCTTTATATGTTTGTCTGTCCCTGGGCCTCTTATGTAAATTGGGCCAGCCAGGAGTGTTCTTTGTTTTACCTGAAATTCTCACTCCGGTCCTTGGACCTTCCTTTGTTCTATTTTCACGGGCATTTCCCTTCCAGGTCTTTTAGCCACCACCATTCTGGTCTCCTTTTCCCTATTCTAACTACCTAACACAACCCCTCACTGCTGCTGCTGCTAAGTCACTTCAGTTGTGTCTGACTCTATGCGACCCCATAGACGGCAGCCCACCAGGCTCCCCCATCCCTGGGGTTCTCCAGGCAAGAACACTGGAGTGGGTTGCCATTTCCTTCTCCACCTCAGTAACCAGTATTCTTTTCATGCCCTTCAAAAGATTCAAGACTGAAGCTAAGTCAATTTTGTATTATTTCTATTTAAAATAACTTTACCAAGAACGTTCCTTGGGCTTGTCCTCGTAGTTGATCAAATATAAAAGTACCTGTCATGTCCCAACCCCTATTTTATACAAACTGCTGACTCAGCATGGCACTTCCCATCACTGCTTCCTAAATCACAGGAAATTTCAAGACCGAGGGACTGAAAGAAAGTAGGAATGACCCAGCCTCTAAAAATCCTGAGTTATGTAAAGGAGAAAAACAAAATCATATCTGAGTAGATAATTCATGATTCAGACAGCCCAGCAGCTAATTGGTATTAACTACTCTACTGAAGACCTACTTAATGCACTTAGGTAAGACTTTTTATTTCCATGAAATTGGATCTTTGGTTCAAAATTTAATCTCCTGCCAAGGACTCTGCACTATGTAGGTGACGTAACATGTCATTGCCAGGAATATAAAGAAATTGATCCGATTATTTGCTAAATAATGTTTCTTCATCAGGGCTAAGTCCTCCTCTAAGTGGGCTGTCAAAGAGAGGAGCAAAAAGCAGTCACTATTAGTTGTATTTTCCAGGACTCCAATTCAGCCATGAAAAAAGATCAGTGCACTAAAAATTGATTGGATATATAGATTATTAGGTTATAGGACCTTTGTCTGGAAGGAACAAGCAAGGCCTATGAGGTCTGATCTTTTGGCAAGTAAAAAAATTAACTAAAATGAAAGATATAAGACATAGTATTGGAATGATATGCTATTCCTTCAGAATATTAACAGTCTCATGACATTAATAATCATGGAAGAAAATTTACCTACCATTATAGGGAACATAAAATTCCTAATAAACAACTTTGTTTCTTTCTCTCTTGCTAAAATTTTTCAAAACTGTTCTGAAGGAGGAATGTAGTCTGTCCTGTCTAAAGCTATTCTTACGTTATTCCCATGGTCCCTGGACACAGAAGGGCAGAATCTTCCTCAGTCTTCAGATTCACTGTGGTCAATGACCTCTTCAAACAGGTAAACAGATAAGAAAGGACACTATGACCAAAGCTTTCTATAACCTTTAGCCTAAATTTACACGTCAACAACAAGAGAAAGGTGTGTGCACAAAAATGCTAGTGAGCCCTTCCTGCCCAAGATGGAGGAAATGAATCAAACCATTAAAACACTAAGGCAGGAGAATGAGTTTATTCAACAAGTATTTACTGAGCCCTTACTATATGCCAAGCACTATTTTATGTGCTAGGAATACATTCCATTGATTAAAAAATACAAAATCCCTGTCTTCATTGTGCTTATACTCTAGAGGAAGGATACCAGACAATGAATATAATAAATAATTTACATAGTAAGTAGAAGGTAATGAGTACTACAGGGGGAAAAAAAAATAGAGCAATTGTGAGAATGAAGACAAGTCTTATTTGGAAAATTTCCCAAACCGGACACACACAAAAATATGCTTCTTTCTTGGAAAGTCTACGTGCCTGTCAGTGACAACAGAAAATATTTCTGGCCCCTTAAATGTTCATGGGATTTTCAAGCAAGAAATTACAGGGGTTTTAAAAATATGAAAGTGGAATTGAAAACTATGCAGAGTAACTTTCATAAAAGAGGAGCTCCATACAGAATTTGTGAGGCATTGGAATCTGTGTTTACTGCTGGAGGATGTCCCACAACTCGAGCAAATTCCATGATTCTGGCCACACTGCCAACCACAGTAGATCTGGAGAGTCAAGTGTTGAAGAGACTACCAGGGTCAGAAAATGTGGAAGAACTCAAGTAGCTTTCCAGGATTTTTTGTTTTATTTCCCATTACCTTTTTTAGAATACAGCCTAGTTTTTGTGATTTTTCTTGTTTCATTAGAGAAGAGTGAGCTCACTAAAAAGGAAAACTGAAAAACAGGAACGCCTACATTTCCAACTCCATCGCCAATCTCAAACTGTTTAAAATGCACACGTTTATTGTATATCAGCAGACCCAGGTTTTTTGACACCATTATCAGAGGTTGTTGACTCTACTACCAGGAAGATTTTTTTCCCCTTTGATTTAAATTCAAATTTCATTTCAACAAAGCAACCAAAATAATTAATGAATTAGGTTCTCTATGTAAGAAGTGAAAATAGAAAATAAATGGTGTCATCTTTGATCAGAAAGTTGTATTTCAGCAAGATAGGGCAGAGGCCGCAAGTTCCGGTTACAGGACCAGGAAAAGGGAGTGTCTACCCACAGGATACTTAGAAATTGATTACTAAAACAGCAGCCTGTTCTAGAGGTAATAATGACATTAGGTTGTGATAATTCTCCAGAAACCCCAATATCCCAGGATTAGGAACATCTGGAAATTGTTCAGATGACACACATTTCTGTTTCCTGTGTAAGGCTTCAGTGATGCCTCTCTGTGGCATCTGTCACCATTTTATTTCTTTGCAAACCTCCTCCTTTCAAATTAGGAAGTGTACATAAAGTGCAAGTAAGATTCAGTCCCTTGCCCGTGCTTTCACGTTCTTGCTTTGATAGCCAGGATTACCAAATCTAACAATTAAACCGCTGGCCAACTAGGTTGTCTGCATGTATTTCTGGAGTTAGCAAATGAGTTCATCTGGCAAAAAAGAGTGTCTGAAGGTAGGTGCAGTCTTGGTAGGGAAACACAAAGTACCATACACGAGACACGAGACAGGGATCTGAATGATGCAAGCAGTGGGGGGCGGGGGGGGGTCCTTGTCACGGAGTCACTGAAGAAGAGGCCTTCTTTGGATCTCAACTCTTAAAGCAAATTCAGAAACTGTTACTAAAAGTGAATGAGGCCAGCGGATTTCAGAGCAGGGTCAGTCCTCAGTGAGGGCAGGTTCAGTTTTCCCTGGGTTGGGAACAGAAAACAAAACAAAGAGGTTAAGGAGCCAGATCTGATGAGCTTCATGTCACAAACGTCACCCCTAAAACCTCCAGCAAATGCTTCCCATCTCATAGAACAAAGCTGAACAAAGGACCTCCTGACGGGGCTTAGAACAGTGTATTTTGTTTGGTATTTGCTAGGGAGACTGTTCAAATAGGTCATGATGTTACATACATGTTACAAACATGTTTACTGTAGGATTTCTTAGGTTAATTTTTCTTGATTAATATGTCCATAAACACAGTGACTCTTCAAGAAAGAGATACTGTATGTAACAATTCCCACATTTGGGGACCAGGAATTTACCTTCTCACAAACTATTCATAACATGTCTTTCAATATAATGTATTTTGGGAAAATATGCCTTATAATACTGGTTGGAGGGGACAGGAAAGACATTAAGTCATATTCAGTTTATATTACATGAGCCTGGTTTTTATACTGAGAGTCACAATCCCATACCAATATAATAAATGAAATGTGGTGGTTGCATTGTATTTCCTTTGTAATGTGCCAAAACCATGGGCAAAATTTAATGTTATATTTGATGGTTAGGTGAATATTAATGATCAAAAGTTAACCATATCCCATCTATTACAAACTGTCCCACAGTCAGTGGGCATTCACAAGGGATGTTCTTTGCATTTTTTTTTCTGAGTTTTTCAGCAGAGCTAAGGCCAGGGTTTCAGAACTAAGTCTGTCATGATGTCATTTATATATGTGTGTGTGTGTGTGTGTGTGTGTGTGTGCGTGTGTATGTATAGAGATAGATAGCTGAGACTGAACAGAGTACATTAGCATATACATAAAAAACTTAAATAAAAGTCATGGATTGACTTAAGCAAAAGTCACAGAAAATTATCAAACACATACTAGTTAAATTCCTGAATTTCTTTTTGGCTTCTGCCCTTTCTTCAGCATCAAAGTACCAAACAGTCATGGCGTATCTGTAAAAGATAAGCAGATATTAGAAAAGAGGTTTAAAAATATGACCAAAAAAAATACTATAAATTTCACATAACAGACCTTTGTAAAACCAACATTTAAAATTTCTCCTATTATCAGAAGCCCACCCCAATTTTAATTTAAAATAAACGTCTCTGGTTTCAAGTCTATTTAAATGTAATAAAACATGTAAGGAATCCCAAGTATGCACCACCCATTATCCTGGGCGGTGGGAATTCAAACCGCCCTGTGAATACAGCAGCCTCTTTCTCAAGGAGCTCAGGCTTTAGCAGGGAGGGGAAAGGCAATTGAACAAATAATATAACAGGTCCAGATGAACTACACAAGAAAGGGCTAGAAGCGAACCATTCATCGAGTCATTCAGCTAAAGCCTGAGGGACCTAAGCTGGTGGGGAGAGCACAGAGACGAGGACTGAAGCTTTGAAGAATATAACATATTGAACGACAGGACAGTTAAAAGTCTTGACTTTTTTCTTTAGTTTTGGACATTGAGGCAAAGAAGCAATGGGATATTGGTACCGTCAAGTTTTCTACTATGTCCCATTTATGGGATAGACTATACAGGAGTAATTTTATGCATGAGTTTCCAAAATGTTTTGTTTCATTATTAGTAGTAGTTACTGGAACTGCTATAGGACTTGAATTTTTCCAAACGCTTCCTGTCAACACGTGGTGCTAAGGTTTCCCCTGTGACCCTAGTCATAGAGGAACTGGGGAAGAATGAGGAAATTCTGCACAAATGACAAGGACCAATTACTGTACCCCATTAATAAGCCACAAACAGGCTTTGGTGGGAGAAGTAGTTATCTGCTCACCTAGGGCACATCCCAATTTGACATTTCATAGGCAACCCTGTGTGGGGCTCAGATCTGTCACTTCTGGAGGGGGACACATAAACCTTAAGCACTTAACACCTGTGATTTTAACTTAATTAGTCTTATTAAGGTTTAGTCATTATCTTTTCTACCCAACCTTGCTCCTTCTTGTCCCCAACTGTTATTCCCAATTCAGGCTGCACCGCACAGTGCTCCAATACCACGTGGTTTTCAGCTTTGGCTATAAAACAGATGCAAATTAGATAGAATCTGAAATTAAGATTATATCAAGAGTTTCTGGGCATCCCAGGTGGCACAGCGGGAAAGAATCCACCTGCCAGTGCAGCAGATGTAAGAGATGCAGGTTCCATCCCTGGGTCGGGCGGATCTCCTGGAGAAGGAAATGGCAACCTATACCAGTACTCTTGCCTGGAAAATTCCATGGACAGAGTATCCTGGAGGGCCACAATCCATGGTGGCATCAGTTCAGTTCAGTCACTCAGTCGTGTCTGACTCTTTGTGACCCCATGAACTGCAGCATGCCAGGCCTCCCTGTCCATCACCAACTCCCAGAGTTTACTTAAACTCATGTCCATCAAGTCGATGATGCCATCCAGCCATCTCATTCTCTGTCCTCCCCATCTCCTCCTGCCCCCAACCCCTCCCAGCATCAGGGTCTTTTCCAATGAGTCAACTCTTTGCATGAGGTGGCATAGTTGGACATAAATGACTAAGCAAGCACACACAAGAATTTCTATATTAATAGTAAACAATACTAAATTGTTCAGTTACTCTGAAAAATCTTCCCATGCGTGATCTAATGAAAGGAGTCTGAAAAATCCAATTGTTGGGACATGTTGGATACAGTAAACCCAATCCAATTTTAAGCTAAGAAAAGGGGCAAAAGAAAAAGAAGTCAGAACAAATTCCTCTTTCTTTTTTTTTTAATTATTTTTTAATTGAAGAATAATTGCTTTACAGAATTTTGTTGTTTTCTATCAAACCTCAACATGAATCAGCCACAGGGATAAATATATCCCCTCCCTTTTAAACCTCCTTTTTTTGAACCCCTTTTTAAAATTTTATTAAAGTATCGCTGATTTACAATGTTGTGTTACAAATTCCTCTTTCTATTCTCAAGGTTTTTTCTCTGCTTGCAACTGGCAGCTTTTAAACTCATCCAGAGTTAACCAGATAGGATTCCTGACATGTGGCAGCCAACAACATTAGGCTTTTTTTTTAAAGGGAGGGTGGTGAGCAAGAAAGGCAAGAAGAGAAAAAAACGCTCAGGGAAATTTGGAATCTGAGACTCTCACTTAATGGAAAACGACTTGTTAACAGTTGAAACCAATGTTGGACTTTATATGTTAAAGAAGCCACAGTTTCTCCTTTAAGTTTTATTGACTTCAAACAGGTTTGCTCTCTGCTTAGAGGGATGGTTGGTCCCTCGTCCGTAAACAACACACATTTGAGAATTCTCTGGGACCTGAGGTCTGTCCAAGAAGCTGCTCAAGAGCAGTCACGGCCCTGGCTGTTACCTGGTCGCATAGGAGGGCTGGACTTCATGTGGGTTCCTGCGGTCTGACCAGAAGAACAACAGTCTGTCAAAAATGGGCTCCACATCCGCTATGAATGATTTCCCTTCTGGAAATATCCGCAGGACCCCACCATGTCGCTGAGGGCCACAAAGAAGGTAGATTACTTCGTGGCCTCAAACACAGTTCATTAACAATGATACTTCAGTCTCATCTAGAAACAAAGCTATCTTCCAACTGCCACTCCAAGCATATATTATTCCCAAATTTTAACTTCAGTGCCATCCTCTGTATTAAATGTTATTTTAAACTTGGCTAGACATATCTCCTTATTCACTTCATACCAAATGAAGTCTTCTTACCCCCATAGTCACAAAGCCCGTGGATACACAGTGGAGTTCTACTAGGTCAGTTATACAGACTTGCCAATATCTGACTGTTTGACCCATAACCCTCTTCCCGCCCCAGCCATTTCATGTAATTCAATCTAACATTAACAGCTCCAGAGGACGGTAACCACATATAACCTCCCCTTCAATTAGAATTTACAGTTTTCTTTTGAGTTCCCCTATCTCCTACCTGATTTCATCAGCTGGAAGTTACATGCTCTTCTTTTCTGAATGCTCAGACCACCTTATCTCTATCTCTCATGACATATACCACTCTCTCCCTCAAAACTACATTTTTTTAGATGTACATCCTATCTGTCCTACTAGAATAATCTTGTCAAGGTAGAATTCTGGTCTTACATGTTGATGGTTCAGTACGATGCCTGGCACTAGCAGGCACTCAAATATTTTCTGAATGATTTCATCCTTTGTGATTTATCATCACCGATCTGACAACCTGACTCTCTTGCCTGTAACACTAACTTTCAAGATTTCAAAGGATAACTAAGGGATATATTTCAGTCATGTTACCAAATAAGGAACTGACACAAACCTTGTCACTAATTCACTGGTTTCCCAGGTTTACTTTTTCTGACCTCAGATAAAATATCCTTGCTTTATAACAGCTAGTATCTGGCCTAATGAGTAGGAAATGGAGATGCAGAAGGTTCAAAAGCCAGATAAGCTTGAAAAGTTCTCCAACTTCTCAGACTCCTAAATCATCCTTAACTTTTAAAAAACATACAAATTCCAGACACATGTCTGCTAGCATGGCACCAGACTTCATATCTCTATCTATATATATGTTCAAAAATACGAAAATAAGCTACAAAACCTTTGGCATTCACGATCACAGTAAACCATGGCAAGAGGCCACCAAGGAGACATTTCACCCAGAGAGAGAGGGCTGTGTGGGAAACGTCACTTGGGGATGTTTTAACATCCTACGGTTCTATTTTTATGAAATCCTCTCAGTGTTGCTCCTGGCAGGGAAAAGTATATATCTTATTCCACAATGAGAATCAAGAATCCTATCAGCTCTGGATTAGACTAAAAACACTGATCCCCATTTTTAAAATAATAAAGTACCTTCTCCTCATCAATCATCAAATTATAACCTATAACCTAATAATGGCCCTACTCACCCACCTCTATCAAATTAACTTTGCATCTATGATTTTCATCTCATCAACTTTAGTACTAAAACCATAGCAGAAAAAAAAGGATAATATGAAATAGAAAAGATTCATCAGTGGGAATTATGAACTCCAAACTCTCCTCTAAGTCATCTGAATTCTTTTCCTATGGTTTTAACCCCTCCCTCTACTTGCATTATCTCAAGTACCTTGGCATCCCAGTTCTTGTTCAGATAGTAGATGCAGGTGATGCAGCGGCCGTCACCGTTGGGGTTGTCCACATGTCGAACATAACCTGTTCCATTTCCTGGGTAGCAAGCCACCATCGCCTATAGAGAAAGTCGAAGGAAGCTGGTTAACAAAGCTGAGCCAAGCATCTCCCACCAGTGAAGAGCTGAATAACATAGTCTCCTCAGCAGCTATGGGACACAGGTATCTGCCGGACTCTTCAGTTTACGTACAGCGCATAAATTTGGACTCTTCGGCATATAACATTAACAACCAAGTTATATCTTACAGCTCAGCCCAGTGGAAAGCAGTTCAACAATAATCGCACAATTCTAAAACATTTTAGATAACATCTATGTTGTTATTAGAATGCCCCGCCCCTCCTAAATCTTTCTTTTTGAAAAGGTAGGTTCTGGGTTCCACCCTAGACCCACAAGATCAGAATCACTAGGTTTGAAGTTTAGAGATTATGCCTTACTAGCAAATGTCCCAGAATCACCAAATCAACCACTATCTTAGATCAATAGCTAAGATACTTGCATTTACAAAGACATGGGAACCAATCACGAAAGAGAAAAAGGTTAGGCTTGCTCAATAAAATGCTCAGGACAGGAAAGAAAAGGGAACGGTCAGTGGAAACTGTGGCCCAAATTGTCAGCATAAATGACAGTCAAATTCAGCTCAGAAAAAAACCCACAAACATCTTAATGCATTTTCCAATGCTAGTATTTTTCCTATTGACAATTATCAAATGATTCTCTTCCTTTTGTCCAAACACTACCTGTATCATTCAAGTGAAGAAATACAGAAAAAAGCCAAACTAAAAATCCTACCAAAAATTAGTATTAGGGAATTGCTACGAAAAAAGTAACAAACCTCTAAATGTTCCCTGGAAATTTTATAGGAAGGGATAGAAAAAATTAGACAAAGTGTAAAAAGCCAGTTATTTTCATAGGACATTGCCTTGTTTCTAAAATATCTTGATAGGGATGAGACACTTGCAGGGAAGATATTGGTAACACAAGATGAGAAAAGGGATATTTTCCCTTTTTGTTTGCTGGTATATTCTTAAGTGCCTACAACAGTTCCTAAAACATGGAACGTATCTGTTTAAAGTTTACTTTGGAGGGGAGGACGCACACCACAGTGCTTGTAGGATCTTAGTTCCCCAACCAGGGGTTAAACCTGCAGCCTTGGCAGTGAGAGCTGGGAATCCTAACCACTGGACCATCAGAGAATTTCCTTTTTCTGTTTTGCTTTTGTTTTAAAATTTGATAAGTAAATGAATGATTAGCAAGCAGATTTTTCTGCTAAAGAGTAAGTTTTATTTTCTATCTAGATCAGTAGGGATTTTGTCATTTTAAAAGCACATTTTCAAACATACATGTAGCAATTCAGTTCACAATTTCCTTCACAAATAGCAAGACTGTTTCATTGGTGAAATAACCAGTCAAGTAGAACCCACGCTAATGCAATAGTGGCTCAAGAATTAGCTTCAATGCCATGAGTGCCAAGTCACTCCCAGTGGTAACATGAAGACATGAACTAGGCATGCACTGGCATGTACTCACACATACTGCATATTAGAACAAAAATAAGGCTGAATAGCAACTCAGTTTTACAATGATCTTAAGGCTTAAATTACCATATCTCTCAAACTCTATATCCCCATGAAGCTAGCAATCCCCATATCCTGTCTTTGAATGTCAATGCAATGCCATCTTAAATCTAAAGTTAGGTTGTTAGCTTGAACATCTTTCAGAGATGGAATTCTGAGGTTACTGCAATTGAGATTTAACAAATGATACCACCAAGGAAAGGATGGCTTGGGGAAAGGTGATTGGTAGCAGATAGAAATGATGGGCCTAGCTAGGGAAGAAGAGATGAATGAAGTCGACTATAATGGTGAGGGAATTACCCGTCCCTGGAAGCAGCTATTAGGCTTATAATAGCCACCACTGAGCCAATAATGAACGTCACTTAAGCCACAAATAATTAGAGGCTGGATTCCCTACCAACTCAGCCTCTCCCCACTGTGAAGCTCTGAAAAGAAGAAAAAGTACTCCATCAATGCTACATCATCTTATGTTCTTAAATAGCTCCGCTCTAAGGAAAAGGTCAGTGGTCTGGATGCCTGCCATCTAATTCACCCTGCAACTAATTATGTGATCCCAGGCTTGGTTTCTTTCCTTTAAAGGGCTTACGTTACCTGGCCTCTGATGGTTCAAGAAGGTTGAGCACTCTATCTAGGCATCACCCCTACAAGCAGCAAGAGTTCTTTGGGGCGTTAGGAAGTGCTTATCTGCCTCAGGACTCAGATTAAAAACTGAAGGGAAAAAAAAATTAGATACAAACTCACAAAAGTACCTCCTTGATGAACTGCTGCATCTATAAAACACACCCAGAGTGAAGGAGCTGGCACATTCCAGGGGATTTATTTTTAGAACAAAACTCCTAAAGTCAGCAAAGTATCTGATTGATTAAGGGAGAGAAACAGAATTTTTCTGGCCAGAGTGAATCTTCACCTTCTCTTCTGGTTCCTGAAACCACAGCATCAACTTCAAAACAATGGAAGGAAATCATTGTGAGCCTCAGTGGCCAGGTTGAAACTACACAGGCCAGTTTATCAGTGTTTTCTGGACAAGAGCCACACGAGATGGGTCTTGGCTTAGGCACATTCCCAATATTTGTTGGGTTTTGACACAATTTGAAACCACAGAGGCTAAGGATGCATTGAGAAGCAAGGTTCACTTCAATAACAAGTTACACGTTTCTGTGCCAAATCGTGCACGGGGCAGAAACAAACCCCGGAAACTGATCAGGTCAACGGAGCTTCTATCCAAACCTCATCAAGCAGGGAAGGGCTTTAGACTGTAGAGAGGAGAACACTCCAGAACAATAAGAACATCACCAGAGTATTTCAGGATCAAGTGACAAACGTGCTGTGCAGTTAACACTGAAACTCATCAGCAGGAAGTCTCACTTATCGCTGACTTTTTACTCACCAAAACTTCCGGACTAGATTAATACTTGAAATTTATAAAAGTTTAATAAGATGTTAGTGTGACCAGCACTACATATACAATTTAGTCCTATAGTTCTAGCCTTGGATGTACTGATAAATCCACATATCTCCTTATGCATTCACCATCCCTTCCTCTGGCCCCACTGTGGACTCCTCTACCCGCTCCCTATCCCTGCTCAGTCCCCAGAAGCTTCTCTACAACTTTTAACAGAAGAAAATGAGTGGAGAGGGGTGAACCCCTCCCAGGCTTCCAGACTGGCTCCAGACCAGAGACAGGCGCTCTGGATACCTAGGCTGCCACATTCTGGCAGGAAATGTGTAAGGATGCTTTGAACACGTACATAGACATAGAACTTTAACAGCCAAACCCAAATAACAAAATATGCTCCCCAAATGCTGCAGGTGGAAAAGAAAACAGGGTTTCTGTTAAGAGTTCTTACTAAGTTGGCTTTGTGAAAAGCCATATCTCATCCATCCCAAAGGTAAAGTTGAAAAAGGAAAGTGCAGGATTTCCATCCCAGCACCTAAACAGAATGCTCTTAATTGAAATCGACCACAGCTCAATCACATGTATACACCACTTCAAAAACCTGGTGTTGGCAACCTCCACTTCCATTCAGCAATGAGGATCATTTTGGATCCACAGGTGGGAAGGGGATACGTCTGTCCCATCCCCTCTTCCACTCAGACTCACCACTGCGTTAAAAACAGTCAGCAACATAGATCTTCTACAGAAATGTACTGTACATCATGACTTCAGCATCAGTCACAAGTATAACTTGATCTTTAGGTAGAGAGTGACTTTTTATAGAAATTTTAACAGCAAATTAAAACAGTAATCATCTCATTTTATTTGCCAAATTTATAACAAATATGAATCCATTTTGAAAAATTTGCTAAAAAGAGCATAACTTTGAAGCTGCCAGGTTGAGTAACTTTAAACTGGTATTTTGGTCCACTGCCAAATACTAAGCCCCACCAACTGCGAAACAGAAATACCAGCCAATCTTGGTAAGGATTTGCTTTGAATTATGGAAGGTCCCTAAGAAGAACATACCTTTAATAAAATGCAACCTAAATACAGAATAACCTGTATTTAACCTGCTCACATCCCAGTTTTCTCATCTATAAAATGGATTTATGAGGATTGAAGGTGATAGTCCAGGTAAAACACTCAGTGTAAGGCCTGGCACATACCAAACACTGCTTTGCTGTTGTTGTGTCCGACTCTCTGCGATCCCATGGACGGCAGCACACCAGGCTTCCCTGTCCTTCAACATTTCCTAGAGTTTGCTCATGCTCATGTCCATGGACTCAGTGATACCATCCAACCATCTCATCCTCTGTCATCGCCTTATCCTTCTGCCTTCAGTCTTTTCCAGCATCAGGGTCTTTACCAACGAGTTGCATCAGGTGGCCAAAGTAATGGAGCTTCAGCTTCAGCATCAGTCCTTCCAATGAATATTCAGGGTTGATTTCCTTTAGGACTGACTGATTGATCTCCTTATTGTCTAAGGGACTCTCAAAAGTCTTCTTCAGCACCACAGTTCAAAAGCATCAATTCTTTGGCACTCAGCCTTTTTTTACTGTCCAGCTCTCACATCCATATGTGACCACTGGAAAAACCATAGTGTTGACTACATGGACCTTTGTAGGCAAAGAAATGTCTCTGCTTTTTAATACTCTGTCTAGGTTTGTCATTGCTTTTCTTCCAAGGAGCAAGCATCTTTTAATTTCATGGCTGCAATCACCATCCATGTGATTTTGAAGACCAAGAAAATAAAGTCTGTCACTGCTTAATGTCAGCTATTTTTAAAACATGTACTGATGATGGGCATGTTTGTGTTCCCCTCAACTGAGGCTTCAAAATGTCTCCACTGGGATCTGATCCTACCTAAGTGTTTTTGCAGCTTCAAAAGCAGGAGTGAGTAACTCAGCCTGAGGCATTTGCAAGTAACAAAATATTGAGGGGTTCCCTGGTAGCTCAGCTGGTAAAGAATCTGCCTGCAATGCGGGAGACCTGGGTTTGATCCCTGGGATGGGAAGATCCCCTGGAGGAGGGCATGGCAACCCACT